TCAACTCAAACTCCATCCACGATAATTAATTTTTATATAATCAGAATTAAATATCAAGATAATAGTTAATAACACTGTAATTAATTTAACCTTGATTTAACACCCACCCTGTGTAGGTTAATTTGTATAGAGTTAATAATATCAGGAGTAATTAATCGGTCAAATTAACACCTATTGTATGTAGAATAAAGTGTATTTAATTATGTCATGGGGTGTGTGTAGTGGCGGTGGTGGTGGTAGTAGTAGTAATAGTAGTAGTAGTAGTAATAGTAGTAGTGGTAATAGTAGTGGTGGTGGTAGTAGTGGTGGTATTGGTGGTGGTGGTGTTAGTGGTAGTAGCAGTGGTGGTGGTAGTAGTAGTAGTAGTAGTAGTAGTAGTAGTAGTAGTAGTAGTAGTAGTAGTAGTAGTGCCACTAACCCTGAGTATACGAGTAAACAAATCGCTCGCCCTTCCTGACCTAACTAAACTATGTGCTTAGATAAGTGAAGGTTCATTTTTAGTGTTTTCATAATCTGACCTAACGAAGATAATGTTTACTCATTCTTTACACTTGTTTGCCTGACTTTAATATCACCAGGTAAGGTAAACAATTAGTGGGAGTGGCTGCAGACAACTTACCTTTCCTTACCTTCAACTGGAAAAAAAATGTAGTTTATTTTTCAACTTTTTGTTAAATTTTTTCTTGAAAGTTTTATTTTTTTTATGGAGTTGGGAATTATAGACAGAGACAGACAGACAGAGACAGACAAACAAACAGACAGACAGGAGGACCTTAAGGTGTTAGTGAACTAAAATCTATGGTAACCTTTGACCTTGACCTCTGAATGACCTCCAGTGTCACATTGTTGATTTAGCGTTATGTTCCCCGTCACATTTGTAGTTCTGAAGTCACACCACCCTTACCGTCACACTGTAGGTCTGGCGTCACATTCCCTTACCGTCACACTGTAGGCCTGACTGCACACCACCCTTACCGTCACACCATAGGCCTGACGTCACATCCCCCTTACCGTCACACAGTTCTTGACGCTCCGTGACGTAAGCGAGTCAGGTTGCCTCTCCTCTTTAAAGCGACGCCGAAGGTCGTTCGTGTAGTGAAAATATTGTATCGTGCTGGAGGCGGATTCTTTAAGTCTTTTGTTATGGTTAAGAACATCTCTTGTTTATGGTCAAGATCGTCTTTTGTTTATGGTCAAGATCGTCTTTTGTTTTGGGGCTCATAGTTTGGCTCACGTCTTATTATTTTTTTCAACCTTATCTATTTATTTCAACGCTATTTACCCACCTAATTTTATATATTAATTGTAAAATAAATGTTTCCCAAGTTAATTCCCAAATAAGATAGAATTTGATGGTACCTGCGTTAGTGGGCGTTAGAATTTGATGGTACCTGCGTTAGTGGGCGTTAGAATTTGATGGTACCTGCGTTAGTGGGCGTTAGAATTTGACGGTACCTGCGTTAGTGGGCGTTAGAATTTGATGGTACCTGCGTTAGTGGGCGTTAGAATTTGATGGTACCTGCGTTGGGCGTTAGAATTTGATGGTACCTGCGTTAGTGGGCGTTAGAATTTGATGGTACCTGCGTTAGTGGGCGTTAGAATTTGATGGTACCTGCGTTAGTGGGCGTTAGAATTTGACGGTACCTGCGTTAGTGGGCGTTAGAATTTGATGGTACCTGCGTTAGTGGGCGTTAGAATTTGATGGTACCTGCGTTAGTGGGAGTTAAATACAGTTTTTTTTACGAAATGACTGGAAGTATTTATTCAATTTCAAAATAAATGATTCCCTCAGGTTAGGTAGAATGAAGTATCGTGAATTACCTTCTATTGAATGAATGAATAGGATAGGTAAAGGTTAATTAAGGTTGATTGAGGTCACCTGAGGATTGCCCCCCCCCCCCAGTTTATTTCACCTGGTGATTGAAAATTTGGTTAGGTTAGATTAAGTTACGTTAGATTCAGGTTAAGTTAGGCTAGCTTAACGTTAGATTAGGTCAGGTTTATATTAGGTTAAATTAGATCAGGTTAGGTTAAATTCGTTTAGGTTAGGTTAGCGTTAGGATGGTTAATCTTAAAGTGAAATAATCTAGGGATCTATAATCAGGCTGGGAGAGAGAGAGAGAGAGGCGTAGGGGTTAAGGGGGGGGGGTTAAAGATTGGCTCACCTGTGGTAGTATTGGGTCAGGTAGGTGATCATGGTTGCTAAGCGGGGCGACCTTTGACCTTCCTTGTGGGGGGTTAAAGGCGAAGTTACATACACCAAGGCTCAGAGTCAGCGTGGGCCTCCTCCTCCTCTTTATCCTCCTCTTCCTCTTCCTCCTCCTCCTTATCCTCCTCTTCCTCTTCCTCCTCCTCCTCCCCCTCGATGATGCTACTGGTGGTGGTGGTGTTGGAGACTGGTAGTACTGGTAGTAGATGGTGGTAGGAGGTCTTATGTATGTGTGTGTGTGTGTGTGTGTGTGTGTGTGTGTGTGTGTGTGTGTGTGTGTGTGTGTGTGTGTATCTGGTGCACCTCTTTGCTAATCATTCTATTGTTCACCTTGATAGTGTGTGGAGGCTTACACACACACACACACACACACACACACACACACACACACCCTCTCTCTCTCTCTCTCATTTTATGTTTTTTCCCTATTTCCGTCTCTATGCTTCTCTTTCTTTCCCATTATCCTCTTCCTTTCTTTTCTCACATACTTTCTCCTTTTTTTCTTTTCTTCCTTCTTCCCTGCTTTCTTAATATTTCTCTTTCCTTCCTTCTTTCTCTCATCTTCCCTCTCACCTTCCCTCACCTTTCCTCTCACCTTTCCTCTCACCTTCCCTCACCTTCCCTCATCTTCCGTCTCACCTTCCCTCTCCTCCCTCTCACCCTTCCCTCACCTCCTCTCACCTTCCCTCATCTCCTCCCTCCCCACCCTTCCCTCACCTTCTTCCTCCACCTTCTCAGCAACTTTCCTTCCTTCTTTCTCTCATCTTCCCTCTCATCTTCCCTCTCCTTCCTCTCACCTTCCCTCATCTTCCCTCTCCTCCCTCTCACCTTCCCTCATCTTCCCTCTCCTCCCTCTCACCTTCCTCTCCCATTAGTCAAGCATCCAATGACCTATTAAAACACCCCAAATGACCTTTACACCTTAAATAAAACCTATAAATTCTACCTGGTATTTATTCTTAAATTTTCAAAGAACATCCCTAAAATTTAAAAAAAAATTAAGAATATTTTCCTTTAAAAATTCTACCAGTTTTTTTTTCGTAAATTTTTAAAGAACATCGCTAAAAATTTAATTTTTTTATAATTATACCTAAAAAAAATCTAACCTTTTTTGTTCATGAAATTTAAAAGAAGACCATCCCCAAAAAATATCCTTTGTAAAATTAAAAAAAAAATCCTAAAAAAATTAATCCTAAAAAAAAATCCTAAAAAAATTAATCCTAAAAAAAAAATCCTAAAAAAATTAATCCTAAAAAAAATCCTAAAAATTTCTTTACTGTATGTGACATTGAGATGTTGTTTTGTGTCTGGTGCTTCTAACGGGATTTATTATTATTTTTATTTTTATTTTTTTTTTTATATACCAGATTGGGTTCTGTGACGTTCAAAATTGTTCTAAGTAGCTCCCTGAGTGTTCTAAATTAGACAAAGTAGCTCCCTGAGTGTTCCAAATTGTTATAAGTAGCTCCCTGCGTGTTCTACATTGTTCTAAGTGGCTCCCAAGTTGTTCTAAGTGGCTCCCTGAGTGTTCTAAATTGTTCTAAGTGATTCCCAAATTGTTCTAAGTGGCTCCCTGAGTGTTCTAAATTGTTCTTAGTTGGGCCCCAATATGTTCTAAATGGCTCCCTCATGTTCTATATTAGACAAAGTAGCTCCCTGGAGTGTTCTAAATTGTTCTATGGTTCCCCTGCTTGTTCTAAATTGTTCCATGGTTCTGCTTGTTCTAATTGTCTCCAAGTGGTCTTGTTGTTCTAAGTGGTTCCCTGCTTGTTCTAAATTGTTCTAAGTGGCTCCCAAATTGTTCTAAGTGGCTCCCTAAGTGTTCTATATTAGACAAAGTAGCTCCCTGAGTGTTCTAAATTGTTCTAAGTGGTTCCCTGCTTGTTCTAAATTGTTCTAAGTGGCTCCCAAATTGTTCTAAGTGGCTCCCTAAGTGTTCTATATTAGACAAAGTAGCTCCCTGAGTGTTCTAAATTGTTCTAAGTGGTTCCCTGCTTGTTCTAAATTGTTCTAAGTGATTCCTGCTTGTTCTAATTGTTCTAAGTGGCTCCCAAGTTGTTCTAATGGCTCCCTGCGTGTCTTCCTCCCAAATTGTTCTAAGATTCCTCAAATTGTTCTATGGCTCCCCTGAGTGTTCTAAATTGTTATAAGTTGCTCCCAAGTTCCAAGTGGCTCCCCGAGTGTTCTAAATTGTTTGGGTTAGCCTCAAGATGTTTCAAGGTAGCAAGAGAACACTCATTATGGCATGAAGGAGGAGGGAGGAGAAGAGGAAAAGAAAGAGGGAAGAGGTTGAAGGAGTAAGAAGACGGAGGAAAGGAGAAGAGGAAGGCAGAAGGAAAGGAAGAGGAGAATGTGAAAAAAGACGTAGAGGAGGGAGAAGAAGAAGAAGGAATTGGAGGAGGAAGAGAAGAATGTCCAGAGTGGGGGGAGAAGAGAAATGGAGGAAGAGGAAGAGGGAAAGATAGCAAAGGTGAGTGAGAAAGGGAGAAGAAGAAGATTTGAATAGTATGGAAATGGAGGGAAGAAGGGGAAGAAGAAGGTTAAGAGTAATGAATGATGAAGGAGGCAAGTTGCAGGCTGAAGGAGGGCAGGTTGCAGGTTGAAGGAGTGTAGGTTGCAGGTTGAAGAAGGGCAGGTTGCAGGCTGAAGAAGTGAAGAAAGGTAGGCTGAAAGAATGCAGGTTAAAGGAGGCAGGCTGAAGGAGGGAAGGTTGCAGGCTGGAAGGAGGGCAGGTTGCAGGCTGAAGGAAGGTAGGTTGTAGGCTGGAAGGAGTGTGTGGGCAGGTTGTAGGTCAGTAGGAAGGTTGCAGGCTGAAGGAGTGCAAGGTTGGAGGCTGAAGGAGGGCAGGTTGTTGGCTGAAGGAGGGCAGGTTGCAGGCTGAAGGAGTGGCAGGTTGCAGGCTGAAGAAGGGCAGGTTGCAGCTGAAAGAATGCAGGTTAAAGGAGGGCAGGTTGAAGAGGGAAGGCGGTGGCGGCTGAAGGAGGCAGGTTGCAGGCTGAAGGGAGGGCAGGGTTTGAATGAAGGAGGGCAGGTTGTAGGTCGAAGGAGTGGAAGAAGCTTGCAGGCTGAAGGAGGCAGGTTGGAGGCTGTTGAAGGAGGGCAGGTTGTTGGCTGAAGGAGGCAGGTTGGTATGGCTGAAGGAGGGTGGTTGCAGGCTGAAAGAATGCAGGTTGGGAGGGCAGGTTGCCAGATGAGGGAAGGTTGCTGGAAGGAGGGCAGGTTGCAAGCTGAAGGTGGGTGCAGGTTGTAGGCTGAAGGAGGGGCAGGTTGTAGGCTGAAGGCAGCAGGTTGTAGGCCGAAGGAGGGAAGGTTGCAGGCTGAAGGAGTGCAGGTTGGAGGCTGAAGAGGGCAGGTTACATGCTGAAGGAGGGCAGGTTGCAGGCTGAAGGGAGGGCAGGTTGCAGGCTGAAAGGAATGCAGGTTAAAGGGGAGGGCAGTGGCTGAAGGAGGAAGGCTGCTGTAGGTTGAAGGAGGGCAGGTTGCAGGTTGAAGGAGGGCAGGTTGCAGGTTGAAGGAGGGCAGGTTGCAGGTTGAGCACGCAGGCAAGGAGGCAGGCTGAAGGAGGAAGGTTGCAGGCTGAAGGAGGGCAGGTTGCAGGCTGAAGGAGGGCAGGTTGCAGGCTGAAGGAGTGGGTAGGTTGGGTCAAGGAGGGCAGGTTGCAGGCTGAAGGAGGCAGGTTGCAGGCTTGAAGGAGGGCAGGTTGCAGGCCGGAAGGATGGCAGGCTGAAGGAGGGCAGGGTGGTTGCAGGCTGAAGGAGGGCAGGTTGTGCAGGCTGAAGGAGGCAGGCTGAAGGAGGCAGGTTGCAGGCTGAAGAGGCAGGTTGCAGACCCAGCACCAACTGTAGACTCAGCTGGGTGGATTTTCTTCTCCCGACTGTGATGTATTACTCTCTCTCTTTCTCCACAGTTCACTCCCCAGCCACACAGTAGGACACAGAGCCACACAGACACACAGAGCCACACAGTATAACACACACAGAGCTAATAATAGTATACACAGACACACAGTATACACACAGTAGACACAGAGTTAGTAGGACAGAGCTACACACAGAGCACAGTATACACAGAGCTACATAGTAGACACAGAGCACACAGAGACACAGAGCACACACACACACAGAGCACACAGTATACAGAGCCACACAGTATACAGAGCTACACAGAGCTACACAGTAGACACAGACACACAGTATACACACAGAGACACACAGTATACACAGAGCTACACAGTATACACAGCCACACAGACACAGAGCTACACAGTATACACAGCAGAGCTACTACAGACACAGGAGCCACACAGTAGGACACAGAGCCACACACAGTATACAGAGCCACATAGTGTAGACACATAGAGCTACACAGTAGACACAGAGCTACACAGTAGACACAGAGCTACACAGTAGACACAGAGCCCACAGTAGACACACAGAGACACAGAGCACACAGTATATTGACAGAGCTACAGTAGACAGACACATAGTGTAGACACAGAGCTACACAGTATACACAGAAAGCACACAGTATACATGAGCTACACAGTATACACAGAGCACACAGTAGACACAGAGCACACAGACACAGAGCTACACACAGTATACAGAGCTACACAGTAGACACAGAGCATACACAGACACACAGTATACACAGGAGCACACAGTTTCACTAGAGCTACATGGTGTAGACACAGAGCCACACAGTATACATAGACACACAGTAGACACAGAGCTACACAGTAGACACACAGAGCCACACAGTATACACACAGAGCTGGGCTAATAGTATACACAGAGCACACAGTATACACATACAGAGCTACACAGTAGACACACACACAGAGCCACATGCAGTAGGACACAGAGCCACACAGGTATACACAGAGCACATAGTATACACAGGAGCACACAGTAGACACAGAGCACATGTAGACACAGAGCTGGGTATACATAGAGCACAGTAGACACAGAGCATGTATACAGAGCTATGTATACACAGAGTATACACAGAGCCATGTATACACACAGAGGGCACACACAGACACAGAGCACACAGACACACACAGAGCACACAGTATACACAGACATGCTGTGTATACACAGAGCACACAGTGTATACACAGAGCACACAGAGCGCACAGTAGACACAGAGCCAAGTATACAGTATACACAGAGCTACATACAGAGCTGCAGTATACATGCAGAGCTACACAGATGGGAGTTACAGAGCCACACATACATGAGAGCTACACAGTATACACAGAGCCACACAGTATACATAGAGCCACACAGTATACACAGAGCCACACACAGTTCACTAGAGCACACAGTATACAGAGCTGTATACACACAGAGCACACAGAGCTGTATACACAGAGACACAGAGCTACAGTATAGAGCATAGACAGAGCATATAACAGAGCACACACAGAGCACAGAGCACACAGTAGACAGAGCACATACAGAGCTGGCTGGGGCAGGACACAGCTTGTGTATATACAGAGCACATGTAGACACAGAGCTACATAGCAGAGCTATGTAGACACATGCTAGGCTCACAGAGCTACAGTATATATTAGAGCCATGAAGTAGTATACATAGAGCTACACAGTATACACAGAGCCACATAGTAGACATACAGAGCTAACACAGTATACACAGAGCTGCCATTAGTAGACACAGAGCCACAGTATACAGAGCTACACAGAGACACAGAGCACACAGTTCACACAGAGCACACAGTATACACAGAGCCACACAGAGCACACAGAGCCACAGTATACACAGAGCCACACAGTATACACACAGAGTTACACAGTTTCAGAGCCACACAGTAGACACAGAGCCACACAGTATACACAGAGACACAGTAGACACACAGAGCTACACAGTATACACAGAGCACACAGTAGACACAGAGCTACACAGTATACACAGAGCCACACAGTATACACAGAGCCACACAGACACAGAGCTACAGTATACACACAGAGCTACACACAGTATACACAGAGCTGCTGGTATACACAGAGCCACACAGTATACACAGAGTTGCTTGGCTGGTGATAAGGTTACAGAGCTATTGCTTTAGACACAGAGCTATTGCTACATAGTAGACATTAGAGCTTGCCACAGATAACAGAGCTGCTAGTAGACAGAGTTTAAGCACATAGAGCTACAGTTTTGGTTACAGAGCATATATACACAGAGCACACAGTATACACAGAGCACAGTATACACAGACACAGTTCACTAGAGCCACAGTAGACACAGAGCACACAGTATACACAGAGCACACAGTAGACACAGAGCTACACAGTATACACAGAGCCACACAGACACAGAGCACACAGTATACACAGGAGCACACAGTATACACAGAGCCACACAGTAGACACAGAGCCACATGTATATACAGAGCTACACAGGGGACACAGAGCCACACAGTATGTATACAGAGTATACAGCAGAGCTGGGCATGAGATATGTGAGAGCCACACAGTATACACACAGACACACAGTATACACAGAGCCACACAGTATACACAGAGCCACACAGAAGTTCACTTCAGAGCCACACAGTATACACAGAGCCACACAGTATACACAGAGCCACACAGTATACACAGAGCCACACAGTATACACAGAGCCACACAGTATACACAGAGCCACACAGTAGACACAGAGCCACACAGTATACACAGAGCCACACAGTATACACAGAGCCACACAGTATACACAGAGCCACACAGTATACACAGAGCCACACAGTCTACTCAGAGCCACACAGTGTAGCGGTAAATAAATTAATATATTCCTGCCTCATGTAATACCTTCTCCCTGGCTCAGCGTGGCTCCTCCTGAATACTTAATTAACAAGTGTTTTACGACAGGTGTGTACACTTGGCGACACACGTGACTTACAGGTGTATAATAGGTGTGTACACTTGGCGACACACGTGACTTACAGGTGTATAACAGGTGTGTACACCTGGCAACACACGTGACTTACAGGTGTATAATAGGTGTGTACTCTTGGCAACACACGTGACTTACAGGTGTATAATAGGTGTGTACACTTGGCAGCACACGTGACTTACAGATGTATAATAGGTGTGTACACTTGGCAGCACACGTGACTTACAGGTGTATAATAGGTGTGTACTCTTGGCAACACACGTGACTTACAGGTGTATAATAGGTGTGTACACTTGGCAGCACACGTGACTTACAGGTGTATAATAGGTGTGTACACTTGGCAACACACGTAACTTACAGGTGTATAACAGGTGTGTAAACTTGGCGACACACGTAACTTACAGGTTTATAACAGGTGTGTAAACTTGGCGACACACGTAACTTACAGGTGTATAACACGTGTGTAAACTTGGCGACACACGTAACTTACAGGTGTATAACAGGTGTTCATCGTAATTGTTAACATCTCACCTGAGTACAACACACCTTATCGAGTGTTTTAATTAACTCGACTACCTGGTGATACTGAGCTTAAAAGACCTCTCACCTGTCCTTCCGTCCGTCGTGTTAATATCTTCGTCACTCTTGTTTATGATTGTATTTTCACCTAAATTAATCTTCATTGGGTTAGTGGTTTGGACTCGGCGGCCATTTTTATTATTATTATTTTTTTTAATATTTGGAATGTGTCGTGTTAAGTGCTACGTTGGCGGCCATTTTGATTTTTTGGTGAAATTTGTGGAATGTGTCGTGTTAAGTGCTATGTTGGCGGCCATTTTGATTTTTTGTGAAATTTGTGGAATGTGTCGTGTTAAGTACTACGTTGGCGGCCATTTTGATTTTTTGTGAAATTTGTGGAATGTGTCGTGTTAAGTGCTACGTTGGCGGCCATTTTGATTTTTTGTGAAATTTGTGGAATGTGTCGTGTTAAGTGCTACGTTGGCGGCCATTTTGATTTTTTTGGTGAAATTTGTGGAATGTGTCGTGTTAAGTGCTACGTTGGCGACCATTTTTAATTTTCGATTTTTTTAGCACGTCTGTGTGTTGTGTTACGTAGATTTGATTGTTATTTGATCCGTGTTGTCGAAAATGTTGTGACGATTTAGCGGGTTGGTTGAGTCTACCTATAGCCTGGGCCTTGGGTGTGTATTCATAACACTAACTATGTGACTAAAGTATTTCCTGCGCTTACATATGTCAGGTATATAGCAGGTGTGCGAGGTATATATCAGGTATGTCACGTATATAACAGGCATATCAGGTATACTACAGATGGTTAGGGTCATTTTATCATAGTGTAGACAAATGAAAAACCTCTTACCGTTTACAATACAAAAAACGCCAGGATGAGAGAACACGAGTGTCTGGCGTTTCCATCAGTGATAGCGGGGTTATAGGAAGTTCGTGGTGCCTGGAGAACGTTCGTCTGTGTTGGCGATGTTTTTGTGCCACGATGAATGGTGTTTGAGTCTTGGGTTTGTGGTCTCTCTCTCTCTCTCTCTCTCTCTCTCTCTCTCTCTCTCTCTCTCTCTCTCTCTCTGTAGTGTTTGTCTATCTGTCTGATGGTTTGAGTCAGGTGAATGAGTCGAGTAAGTAGGCTGAGTAAGTGAGTCAGGTAAGTCATACAGGTGAATGAGCCAATTAAGTCAGGTGTGTGTGTGTGAATCAATTAAGTCGGGTGAGTCAGGTACTGGTTTGAGTTAGATGAGTGAATCGGGTAAGTAAGGTGAGTGAGTGAGTGAGTCAGGTAAGCTGAGTGGGTGAGTGAGTGAGTCAGGTAAGCTGAGTGAGTGAGTGAGTCAGGTAAGTCAGTCAGGTGAGAGCCGCGCACCTCACCTGAAGAATATGAGCCCCCAGACTTGGCTGTATTTCGGGACTTGCTCATTGATTACTGCTGCAACTGTGGCCACTGTCATGCTGGGGAGGGAGGAGAGGGAGGGAAATGGGTGAGGGAGAGAAGAGGAAAGGAGGAAAAGTGATGGAAAGAGGGAGGGAAGAGGAAGAGAGAGGGGGAGGAAAAGGTAATGGGAGGAGGGAGAGAAGAAAGGAAGGAGGAGGGAGAAAGGGGGAGAAAAATGTAATGGGAAAGAGGAAGGGAGGAAGTAATGGGAGGAGGGAAGGAAGAAGAAGGAAAGAGGGAAGGAAGGAATGAAAGAAGGAACGAGAAAGGGGGCCGAAAGATAATGGAAGGAGGGAGAGTAGAGGAATGGAGAGGGGGGAGGAAAGGAAGGAGGGAGAAAGGGAGTGAAGAAATAATAGGAGAAGGAAGGAAAAAGGAGAGAGGGTGGAGGGAAGAAGGGGGGGGGGGAGTCGGGAGGGAAAGGAGGAGGGAGTCGAGAGAAGGAAGGAAAGGAAGAGAGAAACGGGAGGATAAATAGAGGATATTAAGAACGAGACAGAGAGAGAAAGAGAAAGAGAGAGAGAGAGAGAGAGAGATAATAATAATAATAAAGACAGGGACAGGAAAAATACACATAGCCTTAGGGTGTGGAGTGTGGCTGGCTGTCACCCAAGAGTTTAACGTATACCTGTGTGTGTGTGTGTGTGTGTGTGTGTGTATTGGTGTGTTGATGTGGTGTGTTGTGTTGGTATGGTGTGGTGGTATGGTGTGGTGGTGTGGTGGTATGGTGTCGTGGTGTGGTGGTATGGTGTCGTGGTGTGGTGGAGGAAGACAAGGTTATACTCGAGTAAGAGACAACGGGAAGATTAATGGTGGATGGGTGGAGGCGTCTCACAGCACCAGTAGGCCTATGGTGCCACTGTGTTAGAATTTATATAGGCCTATGGCGCCACTGTCTTAGAGTTTATATAGGCAGTACATTATTTAGGTAACTGTTTAATTTATGCACAGAGAGAGAGTAGAGCTGTTGGCAGGGTGATGACGGGGCGTTGGCAGTGTTGGCAGGATGTTAAAGGGGTTTTGTTAGTGTTGGTAGGATATTGGTAGTGTTGGCAGAGTGTTGAGAGCGTTGGTAGGGTGTCGTAAGGGTGTTGGGAGCGTTGTCAGGAGAGAGAGAGAGAGAGAGAGAGAGAGAGAGAGAGAGAGTATTTACAAAGGTATTTTATTTACACTTGTTTACAGAGGCGTCTAATGTTGACAGGAATATACGTGGACAGTCCTGTACTTGCCAGAGTGACAGGTGGCTTAAGTACCAGGATGACAGGTGGCTTAAGTACAAGAGTGACAGGTGCCAAAGTGACAGGTACCAGGGTGACAGGTACCAGGGTGACAGGTACCAGGGTGACAGGTACCAGGGTGACAGGTACCAGGGTGACAAGTACCAGGGTGACAGGTGCCAGTGACAGGTACCAGGGTGACAGGTACCAGGGTGACAGGTACCAGGGTGACCCGGGTACCAGGGTGACAGGTACCAGGGTGACAGAGTACCAGGTGACAGGTGCCAGGGGTGACGGGTACCAAAGGTGACAGGTACCAGGGGTGACAGGTACCAGGGTGACAGGTGCCAGGGTGACGGGCCAGGGTGACGGGTACCAGGGTGACAGGTACCACGGGTGAGGGTGGTGACAGGTGCCAGGTGACAGGTACCAGGGTGACAGGTGCCAGGTAGTGACGGTACCAGGGTGACAGGTGACAGGTACAGGTTGAAGTACCAGGGTGTCAGGTGGTGGAGATACTAAGGTAACAGACAGATGGTTTAGGCACCAGAGTGACAGATGGTGAATTTACTCCCCCCTGTGAGGCCAAACTTGACTCCAACTTCTCACAAACTCCTGGTGATAATAACCCAGCCTGTTGCCTTAACATCGTGGTGGAGTGCGTTAATGGGGGTGGAGTGCGTTAATGGGGTGGAGTGTGTTAATGGTAGTGGAGTGCGTTTATGGTGGTGGAGTGCGTTAATGGTGGTGGGTGCGTTAATGGGGTGGAGTGTGTTGTTGATGGTGGTGGAGTGCGTTAATGGGGTGGGTGTGTTAATGGTGGTGGAGTGTGTTAATGGTGGTGAGTGCGTTTATGGTGGTGGAGTGCGTTAATGGTGGTGGAGTGCGTTAATGGGGGGTGGAGTGTGTGTTAATGGTGGTGGAGTGCGTTTATGGTGGTGGAGTGCGTTAATGGTGAGGTGGAGTGCGTTTATGGTGGTGGGAGTGCGTTAATGGTGGTGGAGTGCGTTAATGGTGGTGGAGTGCGTTAAAGAGGGGTGGAATTCGTTAATGGGGGTGGAGTGCGTTAATGGGTGGTGGAGTGCGTTAATGGGGGTGGAGTGTGTTTAGCATGGTGGTGGAGTGCGTTAATGGGGGTGGAGTGCGTTAATGGGGTGGAGTGTGTTAATGGGGGTGGAGTGTGTTTATAGGGGGTGTTAGTGTGGGTGGTGGTGGCGGGAGGTTCAGGCCAGTACCAGTTAGCCCAGGTGGAGAGAGAGGAAGGTCGAAGGTGACGCCGAGGGAGGGATGGAAGGGGAGGGAGGGAGATGGAAGGGGAGGAGGTAGATGGAAGGGGAGGAGGAGATGGAAGGGGAGGAGGAGGAGATGGAAGGGAGGGTAGATGGAAGGGAGGAGGAGTAGGAGGAGATGGAAGGGGAGGGGTAGAGGAAGGGAGGGAGGAGGAGGAGGGAGATGGAAGGGAGTAGAGGAAGGGGAGGAGGAGGAGGAGGAGATGGAAGGGAGGAGGGGTAGGGGAAGGGGAGGAGGAGATGGGAAGGGGAGGAGGGTAGAGGGAAGGGGAGGAGGAGATGGAAGGGAGGGAGGAGGGAGTAGAGGGAAGAGGAGGAGGAGGAGGAGGAGGTTGAAGGGGAGGAGGGGTAGAGGGAAGGGGAGGAGGAGGAGGAGGGGTAGAGGGAAGGGGGAAGGAGGAGAGGAAAGAGGAGGAGAGGTAAGAAAGGGGTTAGGTTAGCTGAGGTTAAGTTCGGGTTAGGTTAGGGTTACTGGCTGGGTTAATTTTCCCGTACGAATACTTGACCTAACCTAACCTAAACTAACCTAATCCAACTTAAATTAAACTAACCTTCCTCAACTGAACTTAGCCTGAACTAGCTCAAAACTAGAAGAAAATTAACGTAACGTAACCTAACCTAACCTACGCAAATACTCTTACTCGTATAATAGCGTCTCTTTGACCTCATTTAGGGAGGTTCAGTGACCCTTGACTGGCCCTCTGACGTCACACCAATGCCAGCCTCTCACGCGAGTACAATTGATTGAAGAAAATGCATTGGTGTGTGTGTGTGTGTGTGTGTGTGTGTGTGTGTGTGTGTGTGTGTGTGTGTGTGTGTGTGTGTGTGTGTGTGTGTGTGTTTACCTTGGCCAATAGAAGATGAGATTACTGAAAGGTGTGTACACGTCGAACGATTAATGGCTGTTATATTAGGCCCCAGTCTTAATGGGTCCTAGTTCTAATGGGCCCCAATCTTAATGGGTCCTTGTTCTATTGGGCCCCAGTTTTAATAGGTCCTAGATCTATTAGGCCCCAGTCTTAATAGGTCCTAGATCTATTAGGCCCCAGTCTTAATAGGTCCTAGATCTATTAGGCCACAGTCTTAATAGGTCCTAGATCTATTAGGCCACAGTCTTAATTGACCCCAGGTATATTGGCTCTAATCCTTGCCCAATTGCTCCACCAACTCGTGTACCTCCTTGATACCTGGAGTGTTGACCCCGTAGACTTTTGTATACCTGATGAGGTGTGTGTGTGTGTGTGTGTGTGTGTTGGAGACAAGCGGGCAAGATGACTGTTGCAAGCAAGACTGGTGCAACTTGCAACTCCCTTGGGGTAAAAAAAAATGGACATCATCTTCCGGTCAGGTGCGGGAGGAAAACTCTCTCTCTCTCTCTCTCTCACTTTCTCTGTCTCTCTCTCTCTGTCTCTCTCTCTGTATTAAATATAAGAGAGAGTGAAAGTGAATGAGAAGTAAGAGTGTGTGTGTGTGTGTGTGTGTGTGTGTGTGTGTGTGTGTGTGTGTGTGTAACCACTGACAACGTAGAGGTTTCCATTCCTTTACACTCACCTCAACAAGTTAAAGACCACACCATTACGTAACAAACACGTAACAGTAACACCTTATATTTGTTCCATGATCTCAATGTAAAGTAACACACCAAGGTAACGTAACACAACAACGTAACGTAACTCAACAACGTAACGTAACACAACAACGTAACGTAACTCAACAACATAACGTAACACAACAACGTAACGTAACTCAACAACGTAACGTAACACAACAACGTAACGTAACTCAACAACATAACGTAACACAACAGCGTAACGTAACACAACAACATAACGTAACACAACAACGTAACGTAACACAACAACGTAACACAACAACATAACGTAACACAACTAAACTGATAAGAAAAGTTAATGTTGATTTCTCATCCGTTTCATCCAGGTAAATTATCATGACTGGGTGAAAGTGGATGACTCAAACCTCCACCACCGCCGCCGTTCCCTTAAGTGGATGACGATGACGTAGGTAGCTGCGTTAGTGAGGCGTGTCTGGGGGGGGGGCGGTTAAAGGGTAGGAAAGTGGAACGAAGTGGTATTACTTTCTATCTCATTGTTATTTCCTGTGTAAATTTGGTCTCTTGTGTAAATTTGGTCTCCTGTGTAAATTGGGTCTCTTGTGTAAATTTGGTCTCCTGTATAAATTGGGTCTCTTGTGTAAATGTGGTGTCTTGTGTAAATTTGGTCTCCTTTGTAAATTGGGTCTCCTGTGTAAATTGAATGTCCTCTACCGTATATGTAAATTGTTTACTCGTCTTGTGTGTGTGTGTGTGTGTAAATCGACTGTAAATTGACCCCTCTGTAAATCAACTCCCCTTGGTAACCACGTCCCCCTACTCAGATACTTAACTACGGTATCCCAGCAATACCTCCCAATCCAACTACGAGTAAAAAAAAGTACCCTTATCTCTCCGTCACTCCCTACGACATTTCGTGACTCGTAAACTACGTAACTTATATCTTCTTATGTCTATTTTCATTCAATAATCTCAAAGTAAAGTATGAGGTATCAGGTATGAGTATTACGTCACTGTTATTCCTTATATTGGGGTTACTAGCTCGAGGGATAGTAGGCTATGGTGTTTGGAGTTCTAGTTAGCGAGGTTAATCAGCTGGTGGGTTAATCGTTTGTTTACATTCGGTCAGCTGTTTTGACCTGCACGTGGTAGTGTTGGGGCGTGAAGCATGACTCGGATTTTTAGGGATAAAGATAAAAGAGAGAGAGAAAGAAGATAGATATATAGATAGATAGAGAGGGAGAAGAGAGAAATAATATAGAGAGAGTGTGGGAGAAGATAAAGAGAGAGAGAGAGAGAGAGAGAGAGAGAGAGAGGAAAACAGAGTAGTAATGTAAAATCCTTGACCCAATCTCCCCTTTATTCCCCCTTAAACCCCTTATTCCCCGTTATACCCCTTAATCCACCTTAAAAGTGATCAAATTCAGTCATTAAAATTCTAAGTCAAAAAGCCATTATAGTTGTACTTAAATTTAGTTCTGCTTACTTACGACACACTTAACACGTGGACCGTTTATAAGTGTGTGTGTGTGTGTGTGTGTGTGTGTGTGTGTGTGTGTGTGTGTGTGTGTGTGTGTGTGTGCGTGTGTGTGTGTGTGTGTGTGTGTGTGTGTGTGGTCTTATATAGTGATGCAGCCAACACTTGACATCACCTCTACCACCACTATCACCACCATACCCATACGAACACTATCAACAATACCTTCACTATGACATAATTTATCCTCGACAACACCATTGCCACCACCACTAATACCACCCCATCTACACCATCTACACCATCCCATCTACACCATCCCATCTACACCACCCCATCCATCTACACCATCCATCTACACCACCCCATCTACACCACCCCATCTACACCATCCCATCTACACCATCTACATCCATACACCACCCCATCTACACCATCTACACCACCCCATCTACACCACCCATCTACACCACCCCATCTACACCACACACCACCCCATCTACCATCCATCTACACCATCCATCTACACCATCCCATCTACACCACCCCATCTACACCACCCCATCTACACCCCATCTACACCATCTACATCCATACACCACCCTATCTACACCACCCATCTACACCATCCCATCTACATCCATCTACATCCATACACCATCTACACCACCCCATCTACACCACCCCATCTACACCACCACACCACCACCCCACCACCACCCACACCACCACCACACCCCACCCCTACACCACCACCACACCACCACCCCCACACCACCAACACCACCACCCCTACACCACCACCCCTACACCACCACACACCACCACCCCACACCACCACCACCACACTGCCACCACACCCCTACACCGCCACCACCAGACAACGGAATATGGTGATGCAGAAGTGAAGGACCCGTGATACAAAAACCTGCCCGCCTCGCTACTGGGGTGGGTGACGTCCAGAATGAATCGACAAAAACTGACTATTAAAACAAACTAGTTTCCCCTCCCCAGTTTGCCCCACCTACCCCAGGACCCCCACCATCCCCAGTTTGGTGACCTTCCGGGGGCCGGGCTGGATCATCACGCCACCGCTCGACCCGAAACTCCGTCCCTCCCAAGCACCCACCCCTTTGCCCCGCCCCCTGCCGCCTTCTCCCCCTTAAGCTACTTCCAACTTGCCCCGAACGTTTTCCGGAAGCCCCCACCACCACCACCACAACTACTACTACCTCATCTCCTCCTGCTCCTACCTCCCCACCATCAGGAGCCTCGATACCAGCCGCCGTCCTCTCCGTAGACAAGAAGTTGACGGCTCCTGGGAGTGTCGTTGGGCGCTCGGGAAGCTGGTGATGGAAGGACTTGGCCAGGAGGGAAAGACACGCTCGAAATTACCTCAAGTTTACAGGCCCAAGAAGAGTATCTTACCTGATTAGACTAACGTTACCTATGGGGGGTTAGATTTAGGTTAGGTTAGGTTAGGTTAGGTTAGGTTAGGTTATGTAGATTAGATTTTGTTGGTAAATCTCGGTGGGGTGTCTGATCTCGAGGTGAAATAAGCTGGGGTGTCTAAAATCTTGAGGTGAAATAAGCTGGAGTGTTTAATCTTGAGATGAAATAAGCTGGGGTGTCTAAAATCTTGAGGTGAAGCAAGCTGGGGTGTAAAATCGTCAGGAAAGCACTCGGACCACCATGGAAAAGCAAGATTGTACAATTGACCTGTTAACAATGAGAAACGTCGCTAATTGTACCTGCTAAAATTGCACTGCCTTAAGCTAACGGGAAAACCAGATTCTCTATTCCCTAAAAACTCGTAAGCTAAAAATTTTCTCTTAAGTGGTAATCCAAGAGAACATAAGAGTTACTGTAGAGGCTTCAGGGGTAACTTAACCACTTAAGGTAACCAGCATTTTGTCGTAAGTGAGGCAGTTAGATGCATCATAATGTAAGCAATTAGGAGAAAAAATGACTTTGAGAATCCACCTTTTTGTCGTAACTTTAAGTCTATCAACAACTTAGGTCAAATTAAGTGATTTCAGTATAGTGTCGTAACTTAAGTGTACGAGGCTGTTATTGACATTCTTAATTATCTAGTAAGGAGGAAAGAAATTATCGTAAGTCTAATTGAGAACCAAGGTGAGGGCTTCTGCGTGTCAGGTAGGCCGGGAAATCTGGTATTACTGTCGTGGTGTTGAATTTATGAGTGAAATTCGAATTACAACTTGTGTCAGGGTGTTGGGATAAATATTACAGCTGTTGTAGTAGTAATAGTGGTGGTGATGGTGGTAGCTGTGGTGGTGATAGTTGTGGTAGTGGTGGTAGTAGTAGTAATAGTGGTGGTGATGGTGGTAGCTGTGGTGGTGATAGTTGTGGTAGTGGTGGTAGTAGTAGTGATAGTGGTGGTGATGGTGGTAGCTGTGGTGGTGATAGTTGTGGTAGTGGTGGTAGTAGTAGTGATGGTGGTGGTGATGGTGGTAGCTGTGGTGGTGATAGTTGTGGTAGTGGTGGTAGTAGTAGTAATAGTGGTGGTGATGGTGGTAGCTGTGGTGGTGATAGTTGTGGTAGTGGTGGTAGTAGTAGTCATGGTGGTGTCACTAGTAGCAGTAGTATAACAGTTTTTTTTTTTTACATATCCATCTAAAATTGTCATCATACCTTCCCAGTTTATTCATTATTATACATTATCTTTCATTCATCATTCTTCACTATTATTCTAACTATCCAATTTATCCATCATTTATCATACTTACCTGTTTCATTCACTAATTACCTTCATCTTTTATCTAACAGGTGAGTGCTGAACGACACACCTGGCGCCTCTGATGGTGAGTTACCTGTTGAGAGAGAGAGAGAGAGAGAGAGAGGGTCGTTTTTAGGTGGTATTTGTGTGTTAAGGGAGAGACAATACCATAGTCATTTCTGGGTCGATTTTAGTCAAGAATAAAATACCGAGTCGTGTTTAGGTTTACTTGGGAATCTTAGGTCCCGATTTTAGGTCGATTTTGATGAGAAATTTGACGTGTTTTTTTTTTTTTTATAATTGAATTAGAAGGATTTGAATCTTTTCTTGATTGGATCCCTTTAACTATCAAGACCCTCAAAACCCTGATGATTAGGTCAGATTAGGTCAAATTGGTCACCTATTACCACTAGGCCTCCCCAATTCTAATAGGTACGTAAGTTGGGGGCCTATTAAAATTGGCTCCCAAATTTTTAGGAATAGGTAAGATTAACTTGGGGTCAATTAAGACTAGACCCCAAAATTCAATTAAGCCTCGAGGTCTCAAACAATTAGATCAGACTAACTTGAAGGCCATTATGATTGGTTACCACTTAGCCAATCAGCGGGTGAGGGAGACAGAGCAACACGGTGGTCAGGCCTGGTCGACCATGTTAACCAGTATGAGAACGATGTTGGACACGTGCATACATTTGTTCCCTGGCAGCAAGTGTAGTGTGTGTGTGTGTGTGTGTGTGTGTGTGTGTGTGTGTGTGTGTGTGTGTGTGTGTGTGTGTGTGTGTGTCTTTCACACTACCCCTTCAAAAATTCGTTCAGACAGACAGACAGACAGCTAAAAAGACTACAGGTGGAACAGGAAAAGAAGAAAGGCTATAGAAAGCTACACGTGAAACAGATAGACAATAGAAAGCTAAAAGGCTAACACACACATAGAACAAATTTTAGTAGGTACAGTTAAAAGCTATGTACAGGTGGACTAGTGGAACAATGAAAGCTAAGAGGCTACAGATGGGAACAGGCAGCTAAAGACGTGGTACAAAATAAGCTCCAAGGCTACAGAAGAACAGTGAAAGCTAAGACATTACAGACAGAACGAAAGCACGACAAAGAAAGCTAAAACAAGCACAGCTACAGATAGAGAGAAGAGACATAAGCTACAGAGTACAGACATAAAAGCTACAGAGAGCAGACATAGCTGGTGGCCCCTGTTCTGATGGGCTGATGAGGTGATTGTCTGATGGGTTCTTCTCCTGATGGGTTTCTGTACAGGAATTATGTAGGAGAGGTGGAGGAGGAGGAGGAGGAGGAGGAAGAAGGAATAGGAATGAGGGAGAGAAAGAGGAGGAGGAATACAAGGAGAGGGAGGACCCTTCGAGACACACACACACACACACACATACACACACACACACACACACACACACACACACACAAAACACATATGAAGGACAAAGAGGAGGAGTTGGAGAAGAAGGAGGAGGAGGAGGAGGGAGGAGGAAGACCGCCACCCCACACACACATGAAGAACAGAGAAGAACCCCCACACCCCAGCCCCACCCCTACCCCCAACCCCACCCACCCACATGAAAGCGTTGCCACCGTTATCTAGAACACCACCCTGAAAGGTCAAGAGGTCAAGCCAGGCAGCGGTTTGTGGTGAAAAGTGGCTGTATGTTGACCAACTTTTAGGAGCGAACTGCCCACGATCCTGACCTACCTGGGTGAGGGATGGAGGGAGAGGGTGAGGGAGAGGGGGTGAGGGAGAGGGGGTAAGGGAGGGAGGGAGAGGGAGTAAGGAGCTAAGGACCATTTATCAAACGGGGCCTTATAGTATTGACACATTCTAACTTGGCCCTCTCATTCGGCCCTCTTACTCGGCCCTCTCACCTAGCCATCTTAACCCGGCCCTCTCACTCCACAACCTCCCACTCACCCTCATGTGGTCGTGGCCTTTACCTGCCGTGTGATCCAGGTGTATCTCCCCCTCGTCCTCCCCCTTCCCCTCCTCCTCCCCTCCCCTCCCCCTCCTCCTCCCCCTTCCCCTTCCCCTCCCCCTTCCCCCTCCTCCTCCCCTCCCCATCCCCCCTCCTCCTCCTCCTTCATCTTCAGCTTAGGTCTGCCGTCAAGCTTTCTCGGATGGCATTAATCAACTAGGATTTTATGACTGGGCTGTTACTACTCAAGCTGAACACTATTGTACTCCTCCTCCCCCTCCCCTCCCCTCCTCCCCCACCCCTCCCCCTCCCCCCTCCGCCTCGTCTTCCTCCTCCCCCTCTCTTCTTCCTCTTGTACTAACATATTTAGATAAATCTCTTGAAGACTTTAGGAACCTCTCGAAAGAATTGAATTGCAGAAGATTAGTCTCAGTGTTTTCTTGAAGGGGTTTTCTGTACTGTCTCTCTCCGTCAGTGGCACAAGTTATCCTCCAAGTGTGTGTGTGTATGTGTGTGTGTGTGTGTGTGTGTGTGTGTGTGTGGGGGTGTGTGGGGTGTGTGTGTGTGTGTGTGTGTGTGTGTGTGCGCGCGGTGTGTGTGTGTGTGTTAGGTGTTTGTGGCTTTGTTTGTATGTGTCTGTGTGTTTTTGTATGTGTTGCTGTGTTTTTGTGTGATTTTGCGTAAGTGTAGGTGTGAGAGAGAGAGAGAGAGAGAGAGAGGTCGGCGTTCATCAGGCCACAGTGAGCGCCCTGGCCTGGTAGCGGGCGTGTGAACGTGTGTACTGCGTGGGAGGGGTTGCATGTCATTACACGCCACGCCAACTTTCCCTCCACGCCCTCCACGCTTCTCTCTTCCTTCCCCTCTCGCCTTTCCTCCACGTCTCTCTCTCTCTCTCTCTCTCTCTCTCGTTTACTGCAGTGCGGGTCTCCCCCTGTCCCCGTCTCTCCTTCATAACCCAATCTCGCTCTGGTTCCCTCTCGTTATCTCACTCCCTCTGTCTGTTTCTCTCTCTTCTTTCGTGTGTGTGTGTGTGTGTGTGTGTGTGTGTGTGTGTGTCACTCACCACACTTCACCAGGACACTTGATTCACCAGAACCTATTGATTTTAAGGTCAGGATGTCAAAGGTCAAGATCATTTTTGTAAGCCTTCCTGGGTCGCTCTACTCCATGTGTTAGGTGAGGTTAGCTTAGGTTAGATTAGGTTAGGTTAGGTTAGGTTAGGTTAGATTAGGTTTGGTTAGGTTAGGTTTTGGTAACTATTAGGGTGTCTAATCTTCAAGTGAAACAAACTAGGGGTGTTTATTCTTCAGGTGAACACAGCGTCTTCCTGTGCCATGGTAATGTGTGTGAGGTGTTGAGCCCGGAGTACCGCAGGGGGTGACTTTCCCTCCCTCTTGGGTTCACAAACATAGTGGGTCACACGATCAGTATTTCTCGTAAGTGAATGAATGCTCGTAACTGAGTGACTTAAGATATACTATGAAAACTACCCACAGAAGTGACGTGGTAATTACATATACTAATTTCGAAAACAATAGTATAATTGCGGAAAAAATACTATACTAATTACGAAAAATAGTAGACTTATTACGAAAAAACTACTATACTAATTACGATAGAATAGTAGAATAATTACGAAAAATTGTAGACTACTTACGATAAAATTGTAGACTAATTACACTGAGACTACCTTAACTATCTGTTCACTTTAAGTTTGCAAAAAAAAAAGTGAACATGAACAATGATGAACAAATTCGGGGACGTGAACAACTTCTACCTGTGTGACGTCACGTGGTAGAAGATGGCGCTGAATTCCCTTTTTTTTTTATTAAGATATTTATGTTAATGGAGTGTTTAACATGTTAATTTTTCCTTTCCCAAGTGCGGAAATTATCAAAGATTAACATAGAAAAGTTATTAACCCTTAAAATATCATAATTTAATACGATAAGTTAAATACTGAAGAACTGTAATGGATTCTTCTTCCCATGTTCGTCCGCCAACCAATCAGCTGCCTTGTTACAAACTGACCCTAGGCCTCATTTACAAGCGTCCAGTGAACAGGATGGTGATAGGTTCACTTAGCACCAGTTAGGAGACAACATTGGCAGAGGACCTGACTGGCCTATACGACGGCCTGACTGTCCGACACGACGACCTGACTGGCCAACACGACGACCTGACTGGCCAACACGAAGACCTGACTGTCCGACACGACGACCTGACTGGCCTACACGAAGACCTGACTGACCTACACAAAGACCTGACTGGCCTACACGAAGACCTGACTGACCTACACGAAGACCTGACTGGCCAACACGAAGACCTGACTGACCTACACGAAGACCTGACTGGCCAACACGAAGACCTGACTGACCTACACAAAGACCTGACTGGCCTACACGAAGACCTGACTGATCTACACGAAGACCTGACTGGCCAACACGAAGACCTGACTGATCTACACGAAGACCTGACTGGCCAACACGAAGACCTGACTGACCTACACGAAGACCTGACTGACCTACACGAAGACCTGACTGGCCTACACGAAGACCTGACTGACCTACACGAAGACCTGACTGACCTACACGAGGACTGCACTCGCCGACTTCGATTCCTTTGGTCACGCCCATGCTCTTCCTCACGCCCACGCTCTTCCTCACGCCCATCTTCACGCCCAGATTCTTCCTCAAACCAATACTCTTTCTCACGCCCATGTTCTTCCTCACGCCCACATTCTTCCTCAAGCCCACGTTCATCCTCATGCCCACATTCCTCACGCCCACGCTCTTCCTCACACCCATGCCCATCCTCGCGCCCACCTTCACGTCTAAGCCCATCTTCACGCCCACGTTCTTCCTCACGCCCACGCCGAGGCTACTGGATCTCTCTACTTTCCCTCTGCTCAGTAATGGCAGGTTTAAAAAGCGTAACATTTAGTGATAGGTTACGTAAGGATGCCCCCCCCCCTTCTCTCTCTCTCTCTCTCTTTTCTTTGGGTGGCTATCTCTCATCATTCTTTTACTATCTCTCTTTCTCTCTCTTTCTCTTTCTTTCCCCTCCTCCTCCTGTTGACATTCCCCTCCCTGACCCCTGACATTTTGCGCGGCTCCCTCCTTCTCTCCCTCCCTCGTTGGTGGCCGCTTGTGCCCCCCTCCACCAGCACAAGGACGAGAGTGTAGGGCTCTCGGAAGGCCCCCTGGAGACCTGCTCTCTCTCTCTCTCTCTCTCTCTCTCTCTCTCTCTCTCTCTCTCTCTCTCTCTCTCTCTCTCTCTCTCTCTCTCTCTCTCTCTCTCTCTCTCTCTCTCTCTCTCTCTCTCTCTCTCAACAGTAAAGTTAGGTACCCATTCCTCAGTGATCTATGGCAGGACTCGAACTGGCAAACGTCGGGTCTTGAAGTGAGTACTGCATCCACTCAGCCACTAGGGAGTAATAGGTAATTTAATAGAGAGATACATAGAGAGAGTTTTATATAATTTATTCATCTCCTTCTCTCCCTCTTTCCTTCCTTCCTCTCTCCCTCCCTCCTTTCCCCTCCTTCTTCACTCGACTTCCCACTCTCCCTACCTCCATATTTTTTCTCCCTCCTCCTTCCCTCTCGATCTTAACTTCTTCTCTACCTTCTTCCCTCTCCCTTCCTTCTTCCCTCTCCCTTCCTCCCTTTCCTTAGTCTCCCTACTTCTCCCCTTCTCTCTTAATTTACTCCCCCTTCCTCCTCACTTCGTCCCCCCTCCTCACTCACTTCGTCCCCCTCCCTCCTCCTTCCCCCCCCTCACTCACTTCGTCCCCCCTCCTCCACTTCGTCCCCCCTGCCCTCACTTTGTCCCCCTCTCACTCGGGTTGGGGAGGATGAGTGTCGTGTGGTGTGGCATGTTGACGGTAGTGAGGTGTGTGTGTGTGTGTTGGGAGGCAGCCCAGTCTCCATATGGGGAATCACCTCTCTCTCCTCTCTCTCTCTCTCTCTCTCTCTCTCTCTCTCTCTCTCTCTCTCTGCACGTGCTCTACAGGGCACGAACCACATACTCCCCCCCTCCTGTCAAGTACATCGCGGCCTGAGTTGTGCACACATGTACACTGGGTGGTGTGTGGTGGTGTGGTGTGTGGTGAGACGATCACACGCCTTTGTTGTCAGTTGCTAGAGATGGAGTCAAGCTGGACGGAGGTGGGGAGTGGAGGAGAGGGAGAGGATGTGGAATGAGGGGAGAAAGAGAGAGAAAGGGAGGAAGGGAGGGAGGGATGGGTTTGGAAGGGAAGGAGGGGGTTGTAGGTGGAGAGAAAGAAAGGGAGAGGAGGGAAAATAAAGGTGGGGAAGGAAAGTGGAGGGGGATTGAGAAGGGGTTATAGATGGTTGAGAAGGGGAGGGGAGGGAGGGGAAGAGGAGACAAGAAGAAGGAAGGGGAAGGAGGGGAAGAGGAGACAAGAAGAAGGAAGGTAGATAGTATGATGTGATAGGTGGATTAATTAACACTTAGGTCTTATTACAAATTTGGACTGTTCCAAATTTTTAACAAGATCCTAGAACTTTAGGCTAGGTTAGGCTAGGTTAGGCTAGGCTAGGTTAGGCTAGGTTAGGCTAGGTTAGGTTAGGCTAGGTTAGGTTAGGTTATGTTAGGTTAGGCAAGGTTAGGTTAGGTTAGTCCAGTAGTTCATAGCCCAGTTGGACCACCTTGGAGATGCCTGTGACAGCTCCCTCCTTCACTCACCTTCGGGTCTTTCCTGGAACACTTGTCACTATGAAGTAAAACACACACTGTATAATATCACCATCCCTCACTGTGTCAATGTCATCTGGTTAAAGCGCTGTGATTCTCTTAATGTGTTGTTAAAGCCTGTATTTAGGGGGTCAGGGTTTTCACTTTGATACTGACAACAGCGATCTTCACAACACACACACACACACACACACACACACACACACACACACAAGGAATTCAGCGACGAGACGATGGTTTCACAAATGTTGCCCACGGAGAGAGAGGTAAGCAGACGGAATGCGGGCAGAAGTCATAACTGGTAAAGTAGGGAAGAGGAGGAGGTTGTGGTGGTTGTTGTGGTAGTGGTAGTGGATATTCAACTTTCTAATGAGAAGCACATCACAAAGAGTCAGTCATGGTCACTTTGGAGGGAAGAAGAAGCAAAAAAATAAAAATAATAATAATAATAATGAGTTCAGCAAGTTCTAGTGTTCCCCAAGGCGCCGTGTTGGTTCCCCCGCTGTTTCAGATTCCCACATTTATATATTGATAACTAGATAGGCAGACGATGGCTTCTTTAAACGCCCTTCGTGAGTGATAATGTTAACTCACGTCATTCAGGTCTTCCAACGTACGACTGTAAATGATTTTCAACGGAGAAGATTTCGATATCGTTTTACAAGAAGACAAATGAAACACAATAGAGATACTGAATTAACATAGGATCATTTTTTTTTTATTCACAGGGTGGAAGACGAATGTAGAGGGTTTATGATGAATAGTGTATAATGAATCCACACAGATCATAACAAAGTGTACATTATTATTAGTTACTAGGAAAAAAAGAAAGTTTCCACAATGACAACTTTCTTAACGCAAGGTATGGAGACAGACACACACACACACACACACACACACACACACACACACACACACACACACACACACACACACACACACACACACTGTTTCATATATGTGTGTATGTGTGTGTGTCAAATTTATATCTGTTGTGTCTTTAGTGTCAGAATTATCTCTTGTGTCATGAGTGTGTCGTGTGTCATGCATAGGTTAGGAGTGTGTTAGAAAGGTGTCATAACTGCTGTAAACTTGTCTTGAGTGTGTCAGAAGTGTGTGTTAAGAGTGTCATTATTCTGTCATGGGTGTCATAAATACCCTGTTTATGTCCCAAGTGTCATAAGCGTGTGCCAAGTGTCATAAACGTGTCCCAAGTGTCATAAGAGCCAAGAGTAAATTTGGGTCTCAGAAACCATGACAGCTAAAATACTATCCGCTGTGTCATGCAGCATTGGTGTCGTCAGTTCCCTTCACTTTCACCCATTGACTCTCTCTCTTTCGCTCTCTCGCTCTATTTATCTCTCTCTCTCTATTTATCTCTCTCTCTCTCTCTCTCTCTCTCTCTCTCTCTCTCTCTCTC